ACGACGCCCGATCACGCCCCCAGCATATTTCCCCCTAAAATTTTACCTTTCCCCTCACTTTCCTGTCCCCGATTGCAGACGCTGGAGACGCCACTGCTGGTGGCAGAGTTCTATTAGTTTATATATCATTATCATACAAGATTTAACACGAAATGGAGCCATTTCGACCCTAAGAATAGTGTACTGACAGCAGTGTAAAAACATATATAAGCATATATATATATATATATATATATATACATTCAACACTTACTGTATATGACGCAAATTTTCGGTCCGTCTGGACCCTCTTTAGGCGTAGTCCGATCGTCGTCTGAACCAATCGGTTCGTCTCCGTTTCCGCATAACATGTTACATAACACTTTACGGAGTAGTGGCTATTCATGAGTATGGTAAATAACTCATGACATCATACCACTGTTCCTTTGTATTATAGGCTATGATAGAATTCGATAAAATGTATAGACGATAAACGTCAACATATAAATTCCCACAATAATAATACATAGCCACAAGGTATGCAATTAAACTTTGGAGTTTAACCCTACTGCGGAGGAGCTGCACGTTCTCCCACTCTTCTTTCTTATTGAGGCCGGGATTATGTATTTTAATTCTCTCTGCCTTTTATATATCATCTACCCTTAATTGGAATGGTCATGTTAATATAATCATTGGTAAATGCAATAAAAATCTTGGGATGATTTTAAGCGTATCATAGGATGATGCTCCATGTAATGTTTCTAAAACACTCTTCTTATCACTAATAAGAAGTAATTTTGATTGTTGTTTTTCTGTTTGAAGCGGTACATCAAAGAGAAACATGAGGAGTATTGAGAATATACAAAAACGTCATACTAAATTCATATTGCACTATCCTGACCTTGATTATAAGGCACGCCTCTTGCGACTTGACTTGTTGCCGTTATATTAGGCGTGAGATCAGAGATCTCTATTTTTTTTTTAATAAAAGTTTATTGAAATGTATGATAATCCTATTGATGACTATGAATCAAAATTTTTAATTCCTCACCAGACTTTCTTCTGATTCATTCATGTTATCTGTCCCTCGATGCTAAAAACCAGATCTCATAAATCTGTTTATTTTCAACGAATGGTGCCTATTTGGAATAATTTTCCTTTTCAATTCGATTACATTCTTCTTTTTCATCTTTCAAAAACAAAGTGCTTGGATTTTATAATACATTACTACCGGTAAATTGAAATCTAATTTTCTTGGATGCTGTTGGATTATGAACATTTTCTATTCAAATTTTAAATTGTTATTTGGACAAATCTTTATTTTAATGCAAATTTAGGCCTATTTATTTTTATAGTTTTAATTGATCTATCTCCGTTGGTAAGACGACTATGTATATGTGCTTGTTATCCTGTTCTGTACTTGCCTTTCTGGTGTTTTTTTAACCAGTTAAAGTTAAATTAATTGAAATAGGAATTGTAATATACATATACATAACGCAGTAGCATTTAACATTAACATTTACAAATACCAAAATGCAAACACTATTAAAAAATGTCACTGTATCTGTTTAAAAACAATGTTGCAAACTTAGATTATAGCTCGGTGGCGTAGGGACTGAAAGTGTAACAAGTGCAAGGCACTGAGGATCAAGGCCATTAGGGCCCCTTCAATAAATACGCCTAAAATAATACAGTAATAAAAAATAAACGGCTAGCGGGCTTCACCAATTTATATATACTTATCTATAGTTAATAGTATACTAAATGCAATATAACATTCAGAGACCACATGGCATAATGAATTGAAAGTTTAATATAATCATCAATATAATGTATGTTGGCTTATAGTGTAACAAGAAATGTGTATGTAAGCCTACATATAATTTATATGTTGTAATGTATATTCATGTAAGCATATAATAATCATTTACGTATGTTTTGATGAATGCAGCCATATCTTAGTCGGCAAACATTTTCGGTAATATTCAGCGTGCTTTAGGTTTATCATATATAGTTACCAATATGTAACATGGCGTTTTCTCTTGTTATGTAGACGTACTATTTATTCTGAGGCAGCTCACAGACATAAAATAGTTCAGCAGTACATGGATAATCATTCCAAGTACCTAGATTTGGATCTCGTTTCCATTGGTGAGCGCAGTCTTCGTTTTGATAGTTGTCAGGTTGATTTTTATGCCAACTTGTGTATGTTGCCAACTGGTTGTTGTTCGTCCAAACCCACCGACCTTCGTAACCTGCATCTGTCAGTCCAATCCAGAAGGTATAGTCAGATTTGGCTGCCAATCCACCAGTAGATGAATCCCAGAGTTTTGAGACGAATTTATTTTCGGCTTCATTTCGGAGAGATACCAGATGGCCCATATCGTACCCGTTGAAGTGTCTGTTGCAGCGGGCTTCTGCAGCTGCCCAGTTCAACTTGGTCCCGAATATACGGTAGCAACTTTTTTGGAATGGAACCCAAAATGGAGGACACGCAAAGTGATATATTTCATCAGCTAAACACATCTTTGCTGTGACCAATGTTATACAACAAACCATCCACAATTTAAAATTCCTGCATATGAAAAGAAATAATTTCATATAATTATAATTCCAGAAAGTTATCAATTCATAACAGACCGTAAAAAAATAATTAGAATGTTAAAGACCAATTTAATGTTTATGTCAATAATTTCGTTTCTTACGAATAAGTATAAAATATTATTATTGGTCTTGTAGCACAGAATCACACGGCGTTTAGAATCACCATTTAGGCCATGCCTACGTTTTTATAGGACTACACAATATTTTGAATGAATAAATAAATAAATAAGAATAAGGGTGGGATAGGCCTACAACATTCAGTTTAGTTGAATTTAACTGTACATAATAAAGAATGCATAAAGATGAGTAGGTGAAACGAACAGTTAAATTTACATATTGAAGTTTAAGTCCTGCTCCCATTTTATATGTAGCGCTTCTTTGATTTTACGTTGGCAATTTTTTTTCCCTTGTGGAACGTATCATAAATACGCCCCTCATTACACTAATCCTTACATTCGGACATACTATATAAATATTTGAAAATATGATAATTTGTGTCCGTTGTAAAATGTTCGTTTCCGCGTGCTTTGAAATACCAGCCCGTTTTTTGATACAGGAAGCAGGAAGCGTTCCACCGCAAATATGTTTACATATACTGTAGTTCATATTTATGTGGTTCCAGTGCTTTTCAAAAACAATTTAATGATTTTTAAGTATAGTGTTTTACACAACGTTATGGTGTGAGGAAATGATCGGTGGTGTCTTGAAAGTAGACACAGTATTTGCGACCTCAAGAACTAATGTTCCAGGAGTTCCGGGTTTGATACTGCCACAAATTAATTTAAATACTGCTAAGAATACTACAAAATACAAATACTCAATCGACGAATATACCCCTAGGCGGCCCTCATCCGAAATGCCCACTTGGCTCACCAACCCACCCTCGTCCGTCGAGCAGATGCTGATGCCATCGCTGAATTTATTATAGAATTGAGGTATTTTCGTAAAATAAATACATTTAAAATGAAAGATCAGATAAATTTACGTACGTAAGAATTGATAAAATGAATGTTTTTCCTTTTGCGGTTATCGAACGCGAACCTTCGAAAGTTAGTTCACTTTAGGAATTTCCATTGTGTAATTTACTATGAATTAATATTCTTTCATTTAGCAGCAAGTATGATTACCTCACAATATATAAATCAAGTATTCGACTAATATTTTATTTTACAAATCAGTTGAAAGAGGGGATCCCAAAACGAAAAGGGCACTCTTTTAAATGACATAAGTTTAAATATTAATGACGTGGGGTACCGTAGTTACTTTAAAATATCAATCAAAAAAGTATTTCTGTAGTACATCGTAGCGTAGTACTAAGCAATCGTAAGTATTTGAATGAACGAAAATAACATTTTAAAAATTTCCAAAAATACGAAGTTGTTCATGGCCTGTAAGTACTAAGACGGGTCCAGTATTTGCAGGGAGTGCAGAAAGAAATTGAGGCACTCCTGTATAAATGACAGAAGTTTGAATTACGTTGGGGAGGATTTTCTTCTGTCTTGGAGATCTCCCATCTTTCCAGAAACTTTATAAAAATTATTATGAAAAAATTTATGAAAAGTTTTTCCATTATTTACCAAAATCACAAGTATAATTGTTTTGCACGCAAAATAACACTCTAGCATCTTAGGGTGAGGTCTGTCACCGACCATCACCCCCTCTGGATCCACCCTAGGAATCGGCCTACATTTTAGAATATCAGTCTGTGGAGCGCAGTCACAGCAATTCAGTTACTGCAAGTAATAAATTAGGCTACATACAATATTTCTATTCTAAAGCATAATACCCGATACTGCTTTGTGAATTTATTCTCCCTGTTTCGTTTCTCTGGCTCCCACTTAAATTTATCATTAGGACCTCAATATAAAGTGATCAGTTTTCACAGTTTTTTTTTTTTTTTTTTTTTTTTTACGTTTTTTTTTCTCTTTTTTTTTTTTTTTTTGTGACGTTCTTCTTCCTCTTTCGTTTCCGGCTCCCACTTCAATTCTTATTTAAATTTATCATTTAGGGTCTCAATCTTTTCGCAGTTTGGGAGTTCCATTTCCTTTTAATGATTTAGCTTTATGTATTAGGCCTATATTAGGAATAATGTTACTTCAAGTGATCTTGGGACATAGGCCTACTGGGGAGATAAAATATTATGTCGATTGTCAGAGTAAGTTGCGGATAGCGCTGTGAATAAAAAGTTCAAAACTTTGGACAGGTTTTACAGTGACGGATTTCGTGTCGGCGTGAAATAAGGCCAAAAAAAAAAATGTTGTGTTGCCCTTAAATGAAAAAAATCGTAGGTCGGTGTGTCGGCTTTTCTTTCTTTCTTTCTTTCCTTCTTTCCTTTTTTTTTAAAGTAATACCTGTAATAGGAAAGGCCTCAAACCGTAGTTCCTATTATAAGGAACCTGGGACTAAGGCTTCGTAGGCAACACAATAGAACAATGACAAGCTTGCCAAACAAAAAATAGGCCTATTCAAATTAATGACGGAAAACCAGTATATTTAAATAAATTAAACAAAAATAAATCTGTTTCAAGAAATATTTTAATTTATTTCTGCATCCGATCAACACGATCACACACGAACAGATCGAGCAAAACCATACTATGGCTATGAAAAATGGTCAAACAAGCACCCTTTATTACAATACAATCGAAGTTAATATCGAGAAAAAAATATTTCGTTCATAGTCGGCCTAAAACCGTAACGGAGTCTAAAATGTGAGCGTAGTACGTACCGACTTTAAAGCGATGGCTAGGCCTAGCCTGTTTTTATTTCGTGCCGAATATGGCGAAAGGTAATGAATACGATTTTAAGATTCAAGCAACCACTAGTTGTACAGTTGGTACTGGCAAAGATCTTATAAACACAAGAGAGCGTTCTCCACCTTGACCGACGCTTCTATTTGTTTCGCGGAGAACGCTATCTTGTGTTTATAAGATCTTTAGTACTGGTTGGTAAAGAATAGGCAATGCATATGCACTCTTTAGATTTAATCGTGGCTTGACAGCTCAGCGCGAGAGATCCGATGCTGCGCTGCGTGCATCGTCGTCGTCGCGCTCGGTTCTCAATTTTACGGGTGCATCTATGGCCCGATTTTGGTAAAAATATATGTCTGTTTTAGATTTTATGTTCTACATTTTAATTTTGGAAGTGGTATTTATTTGTACTTGAGTGAAAGGGATCAGACATTTAAACAAAAATTCTAAAAAGAAAAAAAAAAGCGGAGGGTAACACAACATATATATATTTTATATATATATATA